ACTTCGGCTGCAACGCAAGCAGGACGCCAAACAAATGAGGACGTCTTGCGATAGTGGAGAAGAGATGTAACTTCGTGTACGGCGAGATTTTGACTTGACTTAGAGCAGGTGAGCACATCTCGTAAGACTGAAGAGTGTCGAATTCAGATTTAATGCGGTCGAGAAACGAGCAGGAGAGTGTCTCTTGAAATCGAAGAGGGACAACTGCAGCTACAGCACAGTCGAGACCAGGAGTGGCCAAGCTGCGGCACTTTGTGTGTTAAAGTGCGGCTTGTGGTCCACTTTCATAGAGCGTTCTACCCACCGGATCTGTGTACCAGAATAGCAAGCAATTTAAAAAGTGTCTGTACAAATAGTCCTGACCAGCCATAATAAATGGACACAATTACTCATAAAGCGAACAAAATGCAAGATATTCTTTAGCCTAACCGTTCAATTTTACCCACAATAGACCCTTTCCGAAATTCAGTCTGGCCACTTTGATCACTATCATCATCTGTGGAACGGCATCTGTGCCATACCAATGTCGACCTTCTAGTGACTGATAAAGTGATAAAGGAAGACGTTGAAGATGCTCCTAAGCGGATGTTGCGAGGCCTGTACATTCAGGGGGTCAGTACGACGCGAGGTATGAATGGAACACAAGAGCTACGTAAGCATTTATTTCTAATAACTCAGATTCAGTCAATCTGTGGGCGGCTTTAAAGCACTTTGGTGTATAGAATTTTCTCGAGGCATCTGAGTGGGTTGGAGCTTTGTTCTGAATGCAGGTTCTTCGTCACCATCGAACTGAAAGTGATTGAGAAAGAACTCACACTGAACAATTCCTCGCGCGCCGTTGACTTGCGAAAGTGACAGTGCCGACACAAGTTCATATCCGCCATTGATATGGCAAAACCTAAACTGCTTTACGAACCACCAGATGGCACTGAATTTCGGAAAGGGTCTATTACTGCCCACTGGTAACGGAAGTGAAGTATGCTGCTGATTTGAAACAGGGAAACAAAAGACGAACCCCCTCCTTCTGAACAGAGTCGAAGATGAGGTAAGAAAAACAGCCTAAAGGCACACATAAACCTCGAACCTTGAGTTCAATACCATAGGGATGGCCACGTGCTTCTTTTTCAAAGCAGCAACCAGCTCAGCTCGTGTCTCTGTAAAACAAAACATGCACACTGAATTACATCTCAAAGTCGTTGTGGTCGTCTCCCTTTCCCTTCTTGTATCGGGGTTTATAAATATGACCGTTCACCAGCCAGCCTGCGCTATAACCCTTGTTTCAAAAATTATTTTTTTCGATATTTTTACACATTAAATGCACCACCTAGTCGAACTTATGTGGTAAATTTGTCGAGCTTACAAAGCCGATTTTTTGCGATTTATTTTGAGTGTCGTGGCTACCGTCTGGAGCGCCCTGTAGTTAAACAACGTAAAACCCTTTGCTTTTGCCGCCCAGTTCTTCACAAATCGGGCGCAAGGACCAAATCGGGCGCAAGGACATATTCGTGCCCACCACATTTCGCGAATTTTAGACGCCGGAACGGGGGACGCCGGAACGGGGGCCCACGAAATTTCCGCTTTCCACGTGTCCTTAAATTTCGCTAATTTTTGGACGCGTGGAATTTGCAAACAATCGGGGGCTGGCGAACATTAGGGAGTGTTCGTAGACCGCGTTTCCCCCTCCGCAACGAAGATGCGCCTGCCCGCCGATAGTCTTGACTGTAGAATTCCGGGTATATAGCGAGTTGCGGAGGGCGTTGCGGGACAGCGAAAACGATCTACGAAAACTCCCTATTAACGGTTTGCAGTATACGTTGTGCTTCGAGCCCCTGATGCGTAGAAAACAACTTACCATTCCCCGGCGCACGCTCCAACAGCCTCCCAGTAGACGCTTTTCGGCACGTCGGGGTCGAAGTCGCCAACGCTCGCCGGTTTGAACTTCTTGATACGGTTCACCACGCTGACTATTGCCTTCGCGCCATCAATATAAATCACGTACGCTTAGTACATATCGACACCGATACACACCGATCGAGATAGCCCTAACGTCAATGCGGCTTTGGTTCACAGCACTGGCTGGCGGCCAGCGGCGCTGGTATGTAAGGATTGGATTGGATTAAATAAATAATCTGCCTTAGTTTATATTAATACTATTATTACTCAAAATAGTATTAGAACATTTAAAAGCATAGAAACTTACCGTGTTAAGTTTATTTATTGTTAAGAAAAACATTGTTTCTCCGTCGTTGGTTGTTTTTCTGCACTCTGGCTTGCAGCTACGAAATCCAATCCAATCCGACGTCAATAAACCGAAACCGAAACTACCGCGGTACAGGGCTCAAAGCTATGAAGCAAACTCTCGTTTATCTCGGCCTCGCTTCCCGTGGATTTGGTTTTCTCATTTTATGACTTTAAATATGAATGTCATAAAATGGTTGAGTTTGATAGCTCAAACTGTTAAACTGAAATGACATAATATGTGATTTTCTGATTAAAATTCTTTATTGAAAAAAATATCACAGTTTAGTTTCGCGGTGAGCGCGTTCCCGTCGAGGTCTGATAATTTCTGGTCGCGTTAAATAGACCGATCTCACCGGCCAGTTTGACTACGCCACCGCTGCCGCAATGCAGCGAGGGAACGTTAGTCTTTGGGCACGTGCGACAACCTCGCTGGAGCTCATCGCGTGCAGAGCACGAGAAGGCACGAGCCCTCCTGTGAACTAAAGTTATGGCGGCTTTACGCATGCGCCCAACGCTTAGTGAGATCGGTCTATCGTGTATACCGATAGAGCCTGTACAAGGTTACCGACCGCCGGTTTAAGTGCCGGCGCCGGTAAGGCGTTACCGGTCGCTCCGATACGTGGTTGCTGTTAGCCGCGCATCGATCACTGGCCACCGGTACGTTATTACGGCCCACCAGTGTGGCGTACCGGCTTCGCCTGTACGTGTTCACTCGCCGCCTGTACATGATATGGGCAACCGATATGGCGTATCGGCTTCGCCGGTACGTGGTTACCGGTTACCGGCGTGGCCTACCGGCTGTTCCCGTACGTGTTTATCGGCCGCCTGTACATGGTATGGGCAGCCGGTACGGCGTATCGGCTTCGCCAGTACGTGGTTACAGGTCTCCGGTACAGAGCTACCGGTTACCGATATGAGAATACAGGACTCCGGTGTGAACCGGTATAGGCCGGTATACATTTGTACAGGTTTTTTCAGTAGGGTACTAGACCTCTCGGGCGGCATGATCGTGAGTGCGAGTTTTAGCTCGGGACGACGTTGCAATCCTCCAGAAGTGCATGGAGCGAACTGTTTTAGCGATCCAAAAAGGTGGGCAGCGATCACCGGCAACTTGCTATTTGCTACCGGCAAAAGTCTGGGCCAGAGCAGGTACGAGACCACTCGGGCGGCATTCTCGTGAGTGCGAGTTTTAGCTCGGGATGACGTTGCAATCCTCCAGAAGTGCATGGAGCGAACTGTTTTAACGATCCAAAAAGGTGGGCAGCGATCACCGGCAACTTTCTATTTTCGACCGGCAAAAGTCTGGGCCAGAGCAGGTACGAGACCACTCGGGCGGCATTCTCAACTAGTGCGAGTTGTAGCTCGGGACGACGTTGCAATCTTCAAGAAGTGCGTGCAGCGAACTGTTTTAACGATCCAAAAAGGTGGGCAGCGATCACCGGCAACTTGCTTTTTGCGACAGACAAAAGTCTGGGCCAGAGCAGGTACGAGACCACTCGTAGGCGACGTGAACGGACACGACCGCTCTCGTGTTTTCTGGCCTGCAGCGTATTTAAGATGATTCGTAAAAATGAGCTTGGGAACGTATCATGCAACAATTTACTACAGGGGTGCCCGAAGGTGGTGGATTCATCTACTGAAAGAATGAAAACCTGACTCTCGGAGTGACAAAAAAAAAAAGTTTTATAGCGCAGTTTTTAGGCGCCCATTCCCGCATTTCGCGGTGTCGCCGTCGCCGTAACTGGAGGAAGAAAAAAAAATCAATATTATCCAGAGGAGGAGAAGAAAGTATAGAAGAGGAGCAGGAGGGTATAGAGGGCATGTGATTACCTATTTTAATTAATTGGTGTATGTATGCACCATTTATAGGTAGAAGAAAATACCCAATTAAATTCTTTACCAACAGCATATAGGAAAATCAAAACACCTCAAGAGCTGCGCTCTAATTTCGCATTACAGAGAAACGTAAACGTCTTGCAATTTTTTGACCCAGGAGAAATCCTTTCCGTCCCTTTTTCAATTCATCAAAATATTTTTCTGGCGTTTATTACGACTGAAAAACAAGTGGAATGGAGAGGAAACAATTTTCTCATATTATTCGCTTCATTTGGCCGAAATAAATACCACAGTGACCCAAGTTTTTATTTATGTCTACATGTGATGCATCGGAGGATATATAGTCTGTTTTGTTCTATTGAGGTGAGCTAATCCTTTCACAATTTTACTAGATGCTTTCACCCTTATATTTAACCTGTGTGCAAAATCCCGTCGGAATCAAAATGGGAAATGGTTTCATGCCATGAATCCAAAAAGTCAACGAAGCTAAAGATTTCGTTCCAGATAAAAAGCTAGTTTTGTCTAGGAATAAGGGTAGAAAAGACTGATAGGAATACCAAACCACTATTTTTGAAATTGTAGTGCAAGGAAAGTTTTTATCTCGGTGTCATTAAATGTCGGCATGCTTGACTTACAATTGTCTCGACGCCTCTCTGTAGGGCATAATATTGAGAACCAGCATCATCACATTCTATTAAACCCACCAGGGTGTCACCATCACTATCCTCCTTCTTTTTTATTTTGTATGCAAGGGCACATGCTCGTTGGTCCATGTGGTCTTTTCTGCTTCACATATCTCTTGGTTTTTTGTGTGATTATAGCAGCCTTTTTACATGACACGAATTAAATCACAAATGAAGTTTCTTTCTGTAAGGAAAGTTTATGTACATGCAGCTCTTCTGTTTATACAATTTGAAACAGTTGAGAGGACTCCTTTGGTAGGTACGACTTTAGTGGTGCTTTGTACTTGAGAATAAATTTTGTCTTTGCATTCGAGTATATTGTTCCTACAGAAAACAAACACGTGCAAAACATTTTGCAACAAGCTTTACAGTATCGAATTCCCCTATGTACAGTGGGTCAACCAAATGTGATATTTACATAAAATAACATATATACACAAAAGCAAGTCGAACTAATCCCTCTCAATGCTGTTTAGCAGATCACACACAAATGACTTGTTTTCACTGACAAAGTCTATATACAGGCAGCTGTCCTTGATACTACTGGGCCGTAGGACGCTTAGGGCCTTGCTTTCTGAAAGAAAACATTCCTTGATGTGCGGTGGCATGCATGATTCCTCCATCAGGACAATTGGACGGCAAAGGAGGACACATGTCTGGGCGGGAAGTGACACCAGGATGATTTTTTCAATCTTGTAGTACTCCCCATCTTGTGTGGAGACGACCGTGGTGTTGCTTTTTTCTGGCCTAGTGTAGGCAGCACTGTGAAATACCTTGCGGTCAAAGACAAAGCGTTCATACTCTGTTCTAGTGGTGCAAGATAAATCACAGTGCTGCTCAAGAGCACGCTTTTCCAATGCACTTAAGCTTACAGCGCTTCCACATCCAAGCAGACATGTTTCCTCCACATGACTCGCATTCTGAATAGGAGGGAAACCGAGAAACCTCGTGCACACATCCTGTTCCCTGTCGGGCAACTTCGCTGTTGCCAGGAGACACTCAACCTGTTGAGCCATCACGACCCGCTCCAAAATCTGGTCAGGGAGTCCTCGCGCGGCTGACACCAGCTTGGCAATCCTGCCATTTCCCCCTTCGAAAACGAAGGCAGAATGCGCCCAGAGTGGGCCCGGCTGACGGACACAGTTACATAGGTGCAGCAACTGGTGCACATTAAATGTGGCAGAGGTCACGCCAAACAGTGTCTTGCTGCGGCCAACGAAGGTCTCGAGCAGCAGCTCTGAAAAACAAAACAGAGAACAGAACAAAGTTGGGTACCCAGACATTATGAGCACATTTTCACATGCCTAAATGCTGCAACTTAATGCTCATTCTTTCATTTCAAATTATTTGCTGGCACAGACTGCTGGAAAGGAAGAAAAGTCTCTTACCGAAACGTCGTGTAATAATGCCTCTGCTGCTGTTCAAACATTTTTCTACGTTTCTGAATTTGTTCCACGAAAAAAAATAAAGTGCAGACAGCGTCCTCCAGTGGGGAGGTGGAGGGAACATTAATTTGCATGCATGAGTTTTATCAGGCACGCAAAAAATGCGAGTCGCGAGCAGTCAGCCTCTGAGTGATAAGGTGTTGTCAGTGCTCATTATATGAAATTAACAGCACAAATACAAGAAGAAAAGGATGATAAACGTCAGTTGTTAGTCAGCACTCTATCCTGTCTCCCTCAACTATCCTTCCTAGTATTTGCGCTGTTAATTCCACATAATGATCAACCAACTAGCCCACCAGATGATCGTAATCAGTGCTCATCGTTTTTTTTTCCCGCAAGACAACCAAACAGCTTGAGCAGAGGTATTGCATTAAATTTTGGTGGAAGCGTTGCAACACTCAAGTGGAAACAGAAATATTCACCAGAATTTCGGCGGCGATGCCATGGGCATTATAAAAAATTAGAGGCGTACTACCGGATCAAAGATGGTCGCATGACAGTGGGGAGTGATGCGCGCCCCGGAAGGCCTTCAACAAGATGAAATAACGAGGTGATTGACCAAGTGCGGAGTTGGGTCGTGCAGGACCATCGCAACACTATTCAAGAACTTGTGACTGAGGTGGGAGGAATTACCGACTTGGTGCATTCAATTCTGAAGGATCATTTGGCTCTGCAGAGAGTGTCTGAGAAATTTGTGCCAAAGTTGCTCACGATGGAGCTGCATCAAAACAATGCACCAGCTCGTTTTTCGCGTCTGATTCAGATTTTTTGGCCAGAATCAGGCTCCATACTCTCCCGACATGACTCCTTGTGATTTTCTGGCTCTTCCCCATGATAAAAATGCCGCTGAAAGGAACGAGATACGGGAAAAAGCAACGAGCACTGACTACACTTCCGCACGTGGAGGCTGACTGCCAGTGACTCATATTTTTTGCGGGCTTGATAAAATTTAAGCATGCCCATTAATGTTCCCTCCACCAGAAGACAGTGTCTGTGTTTAATTTGTTTACGTGGAACAAATTCATGTCGGATATTTTTTTAACAGACCTCGTATTGGTAGACCCGAAACTGAGTACACCTACCCACCAGAGGCACTGTCCGCATTTCATTGGTTTCCGGGGTACAAATTCAGATCGAATAATTTTTGAACGACCCTTGTATGCTCCTTCCTTCATGTGAGGGTGATGCAGCATAGTGTCAGTAATTTTGGTTGACTGGTTTCTTAGATATTTAATTTTGCAGAAAATTTTGCAAAAAATAGCTTAATACATATAGCATTCTGATTTCTCCACAATCACTATTGAAATTTCTTATATAATATTTAAAAATATTTAAAGTTAAAAATACTTCTAATTGTTTTAAATTGTCTACAGTGTTCCTGCAATGTCTGTGCAGTGGCGATGGATATCCATGCATTCTTGAAACATTTTATGGAATGTGCAAAAACTTAGTGGAGTAGAGAACACTGGGTATGCAGAATTCATGACACAAACCAAAACAAGTGCACTGTGAGGCAATAGGACAGGTGGGAATGCGGCAGGGCAGTGGGAATGGTTTCTATTTGCAATACAAATCACCGTGAAGCACTTCATTGTCTTAGAGATTTTGCAAACTACTCAAGTTTTCGGCATAATCCGACTACAGTAGAACCAGAAGAAGTAACACTTGTGAACACTTGCAACACAAATTTACGGATAATGTTTAGCACAACCCTTAAAGGGACAATGAAGACGATCTAGAAACTTTATTTTACGGTTGAAGTAGGCCTCAGGCCTGATCTAGGTCAGTGGTCCTCAAATGGGGGTCCGCGGATGCTTTGGTGTCTGCGAAGGCATTCTCGGGGTCCTCGAAGCCCTGCCTCATTAGTCAAAATCGGCAATAAAGGTTGTCTTCGTGTAGTTTGGGGAGAAACATTCCAACTTTCAGTTGCGTTTTCTCTAGTGTGTGCCAATGAGAGAAGTCTACTTTGCACTAGAACTTGGTTATAGTGATTTATTAAATTTTTATTTTCATTAATGTATACATTTCCGTTCCCCTCACCACAACCGGTGTCCCCAAAACATCAATGGTTGAGAACCACTGATCTAGGTAATGTTGACCAAGTTTTAGCCCAAACCGATGCCTGCATGTTGCACAAATTAATTAAACAGTTTCATGAAAAATTGTACCGAGAACGCGCAGCAAACGAGTTTGCGCGACCTTCCAGCCTAGCATAACGTAGAAGTGTGACGTCCTGTGAGATCGACTACTCTCACTTGACTTCACTCGGACGGTTAGTTTCAGTAGTGCCAATTTATTCGCAGGTACAAAAATATGCATCACAAAATTATATAAAAGTTTCAGTGGTATGTCAGGACCCCAAGGGATCTAAAAACACACATCCTAAAAAAAATTTCAAATCATTGTAATTGTTTGTTTAAAAAAAAATGAACACAGCCGCTATTTTTGCAATTGTGACACATTTTGTGGCTGTACACGAATAAGTGCCGTTCAAGCATTGAGGCACTGCATTGCAGATCCAAGCATCACGCCCCTCATCGTCGTAACAGAAAATTGACTGTTTTTAGACATATCAGTCTTATGTTGCTCTCAATCACTTGAAAAAGCTCTTCATATCTGCTGTCAAAGGAGGTAGACTCGAGTAGCGCAGCTGTTAGTGCTGGTTTACGTGACATATTCATCCCGAGTGGTGCAGCTCAAGACTTTCGATTTGGGTTTCCTCCTTCGCTAGTATTCAAAATAGGCAAGCTGAGCAATGCATGATGGGATTGCATTCTGGTGCACGCCCGATTTTCTCGGTTCAAGTGAGTGCAGCTTCCTGAGAGTGCTGGCACGGAAACAAATTTGGTGAGCGCAGCCACTTAGATAGTGCAGAACGAACTCGCTGCTATGTGGCAAGTGCGCATGCACGGGTACGAGTACAGTGGAACAAACTCAATAAATGATGAGTGTTTAAACGATAGTGCAGGTTTTGGGTGCGATTGTCTAAAGGGATGATTTGTTGCACGAAAATGTAGATAACGAGAAGTTAGTCTGCCTGAAGGGACACCTGATATCTATGCTGTAGATAAACAAATGTTTTCGGTTCAGTATAGCCGCCAGGCCGAGGTCCTAAGCCGTGCCCACCCTCTAACGTGCGCCATGCAGTAGCGATGCATGACCACACGCTGGTACCAAGGTAACCCAGGTCAATATGAGCAGGGGTGAGATCTCTAGGTGGTGCAGCACAAGCTTTTGCACCACATACTTTGAGGTGTGGACCAGTAGCACCTCAGCCGCTGGTATCCCTTGCCGAATGAGAGGCCACTTCAGTGACCAATCTGATCTCCAAGGGAATTTGTGCGTTTTGGGAACACCACTCATTTCATAAAAGCTTAGCGAATGCCACACAACATGCGCGTATGGGTGATTACAGGCACATAGCCAGGATTTTTTTTTTTTTTGGGGGGGGGGGTGGAAACCGCCCGTGACAAAATGCTGGATGAGGGGGAGGGGGGAGAGGAGGTCTCCGCAAAATGGCAGATATTTGGGGGCGGGGACGGGCTGGGCCCCATAGGCATCCCCCGTGGCTATGTGCCTGGGTGATTAAAAGACATATCAAACATTCCAGCTGTACATAACTGATTGCAGTCACCAGATGGAAACTGCTCCAATACATCATCGCCCTCCCTGCCCATTGAAATGCTGCTTCACATTTTTTCATTAGCCTACTTAGTTCGTGCAATGCCCGAAGCTAGTGGGACAATATACTCTGAAATATAGACATTACATGGCAACTGTTGCAATGCGTATGAACATCCCCTCTGTTATTATCACCACTTTCATAACTTCTGTCTGCAGTAACACTTTCATTAGCATTCCATGACTGGTAGCATAATAGTCGTCTTAACCAAAAATAATTAGTTTTTAAAATTTTATTCTTATTCCTGAGTGCCAACTTACCTGCCTGTTGGATCTCATGAAGAGCGATGCTGTTCCTCAAAAGAATGTGGACAGCTTCACAGAGCTTTGCAAGCAGCTTCCAGTAGTCTACTGGAAGAATGCCCTGCAGGCAGGGGAGCATGTAGAAGAGCAGCCAGTGGCGCCACTCCGATGCTTTCCAGTAGCTCCGCTCACACAATGACCGAGGAAGCCTGGTAATGCAATGTGGAGGCTTTATGCACAGAAGTCTAGCGTTGACCCTCGCCAAAGTGGCCCCAGTTCCTGCAATTCAAAACCAGAAGGAAGTTTGTCTGGTCAGCATTCGCGAAACTCTGAAGAACTTAAGCACAAGAGGTATGGCGGATAGGTACTGTACCTATGTAGAAATGCTGGTTTGAGTTTGACGAGGAGAAAAGCAGTTGAGCCACCTGCCTTGCCACTCCCTGCGGCACGCAATGCATGTACTCGACACTGTAGCCAGTGACGAGATCAAAACCTGCGAGCAAGCAAACATCCCCCATTAATTCCATATGACCTCTGAGAGAAACCGGGGTGTGGTCACTATAAATAATTATCTGTGAGCCATAAGGTGGTCACCAGCCGTACTGCACTTGAGCTATAATTCTGCTTCAGTTATCCATCCAAAAGGTTCGAGATGGCTAATTATTTAGTAAATTGTGAAATCCCAGCTTGTGCCACTGCATAGAGACTACATATACAATGCTTTAGATTTTTTCTGCATGGAAAATTTGTGAACTTAACATTTTCTAAAAAATAAAAAATTTAAAATAACCCAAAATACAAAACCATTTCCTCTAGTTCCTGCACTGTTTTGGCAAAGGCACTTGTGACCGAATGTGCTGTAGAAATGAACTTGTTTCACATTTTGTGCATCGACGACGCAAACACTCTCATCGTCATCTCCGAAAGGAAGCCCCACTAAAGAAAGTTTCATTCCAGCGGGAGTGAAACACCGAGTTCGCTTCTCTAGCTGTTGCAAGTCCCAGCTTTGACCCTGCGGCTTTGCACATCCCCCTTTACCCCCCCCCCCCCCCCCTCCGAGTATGTACTTCTCTTTCCCCCCTCACCCCCTGCCAAAACTGCCTAGTCAAGCTTAACGCCCCAGTGCTGGATTTTCGTTATCACCTCGAACAGGGTAGCACTTTGCACAGACTGGACATGAGTTCTGCGCCAGCATTTGGCTGGCACTTGTGTCTAATCAGTAGGGCCTTTTAAAGTTTCCCTTCAGAAAGCACCATTTTTTCAAATTATTTTGCACATATTATGCCAATTTAAAGGTATTATCTCGTCTTTGTTCGCTTCTCAGGCATACTGCTATTTTTAAAATATTTCAGTCTGCTTGCACCCACGAGCGGAGACCGCTTCAGCAATCTCCGCTCACAAGCGGAAAATGCACAAGGAGGACTTAGAAGTGACAGGCAGGGCACCAGTACCACTAGAAAAATGGAGGGACAAAAAGAATTCAGGAACATTCAACTTTGCTAAAGATAAGAAAGAAGTGCACTAACTGAAAAAGATGAATTCCTTCAAGAAGAAGAGCTTAGTCCAGATGAAGATTTGTGCTTCATATGGACAAGTCTAACATGAAGTAACTCTGAAAGAACTTAGTGAAAGTACAAAGCAATGCTTGGGAAGAATAGAAGAAGCTTTGTTTGAAATCCTGAAGATGTCATTCATTGCAGCCCACTCTCATGAAACTCAGTAGTTCCGAGCATTGGCGTGAGGCAGGGGAAGGCTAGCCTTTTCTTATTATTGCCATGACATTCTGTTTCTGTAGCAACTTAAATTGCTTGTTCAGTTTTAAATCAGCAAAAGCGTTACCCTTTGTGGTATTAGGTATTGTTTTCTTGCGGCGCAGTTAACAGAATCGATGCCATGTTTAATGCGCCTTTTTCACTCACTATATTGGGGTTTTGGAGCCTAAATACCTGCTTATTTTGAACGTTTCTAGTGCTTATATATCAGGGCCAGACTAATCAGTAAGAATATTGTCACGAGTAACTATTGGTGAGGAAAACATGAGTGAAGAAAATGTATGTTTAATGGGGGCGTACTTTTGCCCAAATTAAAAGGGAATAACATGGCGTCGCAGGCGTCGAATTTCGGCATAACAGCAGGATCAAAGCTGGCGATGGAATGAACTCATACGGCCATGCGGAGATTCTTTTATAGCCACTTCATTTTCTGGAACGTTCCTACCACAATATGTGGCACTAGAACATTCTGATCTAGAACAAATGACAACATTCTTCAATTTTCGAGAACCACGGGTTTTACGAATTAACAAAAAGTGTTATCCAGTCCCAGGATTCGAACCTGGGACTTCTGCGTGATAGTCAGGTGCTATACCACCTGTCGACCGCAACGCACACGTATAAATATGAGTTTAAGCCAAATGCTGGCCTGGCACTCATTTTCGATGTGGGCCCTGTGCAAACAAAATTTCGGTGACACTGAAAATTCAGCGGTGAGGCTTGAAGTTCGTCTATACTCATTTCCCGCTCAAGAACTATAATGAAAAAGTGAGGCATCTTGTGGAGCGATATTAACTTCTTTTATGTGGTGAGGTTAAAATACTAAGGGTGCCTGCAGAACGAGGTATTTGTCATTTTTTCGAATTGTGCACATTGCAAATGCAAAAGAGCCTTGTTTCTTTGGTAACCAACTCTTGTAAGAATTACTTTGTGCAGCACAGGAATTATGCACAAAACATGCTCCTTTCCTGAGGTGATATGAGTATAGGTGGTGTTGCTCGTGCACACTCTCGCACCATCTGAGTGAGTGCGACAATGTTTGAAATCTTATTCGACTGGATCCTAGCCACCCCAGTGGGCCCTATCAAGCGACAACACAGACAGAGCAGCACTGGACGCTGGTAGGCTCTTAAACTCAATGTTACAAAAATTTACTTTAGATCAGTGCATTCGGAACTGTCAGCAGCTGAGAGATGACATGTCGTGCTCGCTTTCCTTGTGCCCTCTATTAGCGCAGCTAATTTGGCATCAGGTTCACAAAGCGAAAGACCCCGGTTCAATCTACGCCTTCTCTAGAGCTTTTAAGGCATTAACATTTTGTCTGATCGACCTCTGTCTCGAACGACAGACTTCCGCTGCAGACTTTGTTTCCAAGGATTCAGGAAGATGTCACTACAGCATGTATACCAACTCTTCAATATCAATTTGAACAGTCAGAAAAAAATCGTTTTCTCATCGTACTCTGCTGGAATTTACTACAGAGGTGCGGCTAGGTGGTGCAAGCATAGAGTTAAAATATTAACGGATGAACTTATCTCGTTCAAGAAATATTTAAAAAAAACTGTTTTGAGCAATCTATGCTGCTATTTTGCGGGCAACGCAGACGGTGCTCGTTCACTTAGAGACGCCGCCGACAATGGCACAACGGAGAAACTTTCGCCAAGTCATCTGCTATCAAAACCCGAATTAGATCACCCCGCATGCTTTCCATGCAGTTCAGCCATCTGTTGGCAGCGTCTTCAAGCAAACAAGCACCGTCTGCGTCACCTGCAAAACGGCGCTGTAGATCGCCCAAGATAGGTTCTTAATTTGTCTTTCGTGAACTAGGAATGTTCATCAGTTAATATTTTAACCCCATGCTTGCACCACCTAGCCACACCTCTGTACTAAGTTCCTGCAAATACATTGAGAAACCAATTTTTGCGGACCGTTCAAAGTGAGATCAAAGCGTTGGTCTATAAGTGCTGAAACCAGCCCAGAAACATATTTTGTGCTTAAAAAGACACTCGGGGTAGATGAACAGCAAAAAGAGACGTACCTGGGAGGTCCATCATTGCAGAAGCGCCTTTGATGCCATTGACACTATCCTTGAACGCCAGTGCCAGCTGCATGTCGCGGGAAATCATAGCTGATGATCTGAGAGCTGGAGGCTCATCAGCGATGTAGCGCATGCTCCCTATAAAAGACAACTTTAATTAATCCAAGGCGCTGCATACAGATCCGTCTCATTACTGCAGGCCACCCAAATCATCGCTATACAGGTCTGTTCACTCATTACAGCAAGCAAGTTGTGTGCTTCTCACGGAGAGGGTAGGGGAGGTGCCAATAGTTACGTCACTCTCCCCTCCCTTTATTTTACAGTTCAGTTGTGTCAAACTTACAAATATGACGAACAGATTTTGGCTTTACCGTTCCACTACACGCTAGAGCACAGAGCATAAATAAAAATAATTCAGAATGCCCTTCGAGCTATTTCCCCTCCCGTTTGACGAAGATAGAGTCCTAGTCCATACAAAATCGGTGGATCTCTGACAGGCAAGGCAGGCAGGGCAGCGACTGCTATGACTAGCAGACGACAAAGCTATGTTTCCCCACATCAGCATCGTCCGATCAGTATGCGGCGTCGTGACGTCACTCTTGACACCTCTTCTACCCTCTCCACGAGAAGAAGACGACTTGCTCGCCGTATAAATATAATTATTCCCTAGCTTCACGGTATTCGCCCGTGATCAGACACTATGGACAGCCATGGTAACCGTTGAACAGCACCATGTTCTGAACTGCTGCTCGTGCCGGGGCATCCACGGAGCAGCAGAGGACGAAGGCCTTGGACTGGTGCAGGTGCGACCCATGCTTCCACTTGACGGGCTGCATGGAGTTCACTGCTTCCACAAATGTGCCGATGAAAGTCTGCATATTTGGGTGAGTTTTCCCGAACCAGAGGCCGGCAAGAGTTGGATGCTTGAAGCGCACATGAGGTGGCAGCTCGTTGATGACGAACTGGATGGGCCAGACAGAGGTCTTTGAGAAATCAAAGACGGGACTACTATCTGTGTTGATAGTCAGCGTCAAGTCATCAACTGCCAACTTCGCCTTTTCACGCATCTTTCGGTATCCCTTGCCCGTGGTGATGTCTGTGATGGGGTCATCGGGGCTTGCGGCAGGTCGAAGCAGGTTCTCCCCGAGGGCATCCTTGGTCTTGCCAATAAGGAACTTGACTTTCTTTTCCATGTCCAGCATCATGAAAAATGAGCCTTGCGCCCTTAGCTTCTTTTGAGTTGCCTTCTGCTGGCAGACTTCGCAGTGTCCTGCCGCGCCTTCCATCTTCATCATGCCCTCACAACTTGAGCAGAGGTAGTGGTAGTTAACCAGATCCTTAGTTTTGCCAGCCCACAGTTTCCAAAAAACATACTTCGTCTGAGGCAGGACATCTTTGCCGAAAATGGTATTAATCATACAGACACACTGCCCAAGCGCAGTCCAAGTTAAGCCATTTCCTGC